GCGCTGCTCCCCACCTGCAGCGTGATCCTGTTCTTGACCAGCAGCCCGATCTTGATGTCCATGAGGTCCAGGTCACTCTCCAGCTGCCGGTTGGCGCGGATCCTCTTCACCACCTCCTCCCGCAGACGCAGCACCTCCGACTCCTCCCAGAAGTCGTGCTGGCTCTGCTCCAGCAAGTGGATGAAGCGCCGGACAACGCTCAGCGGCGGGCTCCTGGCGTGAACTGCAGCAAGGCACGGCATCTCCATGAACACTCGTGGGGACGACTGAGCGGCTGCCCCCACCGTGGGCCCTCAGACCTCCAGCATCTCGCCAAGACACCCCGTCCTCCTCCCCAAAAAAGCATCTTCTCGCAACACCGGGACACAGGATAAGATGGCGTCGTGCTGTGCAACACCTCCCCGGGAAGCCTTTGGGAGCAGCGGGGCAGCAAGAGCCCCTGGAAGAAGCCTTCATCCTCCAAGATGACCACAAAGCTCAGCTTTTTCCTCTCAGGCACCTCAAGGAAAAAGCTCTAGCAGATGCCAAGGGACCACCAAGCCTCTGCCCCGCTCGTGCTCGCCACGGGGACGCTGGCGGCCAGCCTGCCGCTGCCTCCCCACTGCGCAGGGCCGACGAGGGAGGAGGCAGAGTCCCCTTCCCAATTAATTACAACCACTTCAGAGCAGAGACGAGCAGGCACTTACCCAGCATCCTGTAATCCCCGCGGGCCTTGTTAGCTCGCACAAAAGCCTGGATTTTAATTACAGCTTTAATCTGCCAAGACAAACAAGGGGACGGGGGATGTTTCCCCGCAGCATCCCTGAAACACGTGGGGAGCGGAGGAGAACTGGCCGGGTACCTGCCTGCTCCCGCTGCTGGGATCTGCCAGCGCCCGGGACGAGGGTCTCCACAGCCCAGGAGGGATTTCAGGATTTCACCCTCCTGAGGGGTCATTTCCCCTCCGCTCGCTGGGTTTCATCACGTGCTGCAGCAACCTCAGGGAGCAGCTTTGCTTCCCGCGGCCCACACACCCCTTTTCCCCCAAAATTTCCTTCCCCTCTAACGGGCATCTCAAAGCCCTCGTTGGTTTTTGATGGGACCGGAGTGTTTTTCTCCTCACGCTTTACAAACCCAGACAGTTTGGCTTCCGGACCCACCAGGCACCTTTTCCTCCCCGTCTATCCCCACGCAAGGATGCGCCGATTTCTCCCTCCAGCTGCACCGCAACCGCTCGGGGTGGGGCGGGCAGAGATCCGACCGTGCGCTCAGGATCGTCCCCCTCCATCCCCACAGACGGTGACACGCTCCAAGAAGCCGTTTTACTCCCCGTCCCGTCGCTCACGTTCTGCCTGAAGTAGCGCAGCCTCTCCTGGTACCTTCTCCGAGCCTGCCACATCCTTGCGCCTGCCTGGATCTGGGAGAGATGCTCAAGCAGTTAGACGCTGGAAGGACTCACTTGGCCAAAGCAACCGGGTGGAAAAGGGGAAAACCCACGGGGATTTTTGCAAGATGTTCTCCCCCTTACACCGAGCTCCCCCCATCCCCTCACACACCGCCCAGTTGAGCCCCAGTTCAGCTGCCTCTTTACTGGGCAGGGGGGAAAAGCCACGCGTGAGCAGGTGGCGATGCCCGATGCGGGAGCAAAGGGCGAAGGAAGAGTCTTCCAAACCTTTATCGCAGCATCTGCGTTGGCTCGCAGGTAGCGCAGCCTCTCCAGGTAAGCTCTGCGCTGCTTGTACCCTCTCCAACAAGCCTGGCAACGAGAAAAGACAACCAGCTACCGAGATGTGCGCGAGGTCGTTACGACGTCCGGTCGGTTTTTCAGAAAACCCGCGAGAAGTGAGAATAACGCACGGCACGGGACAAAAGAGAGAAAACCAACACCCAAAGCAGCTGCTGTGAGAAAAAACAAGCCCCGTACCATCCTCTGCAGTACCATGGGTGAGTCCTGGCTATTAAACGTGCAGAG